AAATGAAGTTTTGAATGATGCTTAAAGATTCTCTTGATAAATGAACAAATTTGGGGTGCTATGGCGAGAATACTTAGAATAATTTATTTTTGATATCTTCATAGTTTTTTAATGAAAACCGGTTGAAAGAGGAAGAGTGATGCTCGTTTTAAAAGTATGATTTAATTGTGAATAAAATCCTGTTCTGGGACGCTACTCTTTGTGTCGTTTTGATACTTTGTTGCAATTCTAACTCGTCTAACTATGATGCATGGAAATACAACTTGCAATTTAAAAACGTGAAGTATGGGAAAAGAAACGGTGAGATATTCTGACTTGTTCAGATTAAAGGAGGATGTCCCCTAACGTTGTACTTAACGGGTTTAGTATGATGGATTCCGGTGGGTAAGCGTCCTGTCCTTAAAACGCACAAGCTGAAGAAGATAAAACTGAATAGAAGTTTTTATTCTGTAATCTTTGAAAGTAGAATTTGTTCGTTTAGAGGAAATGCGACAAAATGAAAGAGCTTTAAGAAGGGCTAATCGAGAAATCGAAAGAGATAGACGAGACTTGGACAGGAAAGAAAAAGATCTGGTTTGTTGGTTATTAGTCGTTTCTATCGATAGCGCTAAATTAGAGAGCCTTTTTTAATTTTATCCAAGCTAGGTAAATGCACATTTTTGTGCGTTTGACTATCTTTTCGATTGTATTCCTTCGTTCTACGTATGTTTTCGTCTTGTCATGCATTTTTATTGAAAAGTCCTTTGTTGTTTTATTTTCTTTGAGATTTTATTTTATGATTTACTTCACTTTTGATGTCTTAAACTTCAAAAAGTGTTGTTCTTATAGAAAGATCAAGCCCACTTTTTTAATGACCTCAGCTTTTCAGGAAAACGAAATAAAAAAGTTGGCAAAAGCGGGTCAACGAGAAGCATGTACTGTGCTTGCAAAGAAATTGGTTCAACTGAGGAAGCAGAAGGCAAAAAGCGTCGGGGTGTCAGCACAGTTAAGTGCTCTTCAGGCGCAGAATAGGTTATAAGTTTGGTGTTTATTTTATTATTTCTTTTAATTTCAAGATTTATAAAATGATTGCTTTGGAAATAGTATGTGGAAGGAGGTATAAATGCAGCAAATTTTATGAGCATTTTTTTATTTCTTTAACCGGAGTTGAGGAGGCTGTTTTTCTAAGGTATGGAATAACTCAATTGTTGGCCCTACTTCTTGGAAATATGTAATATCCTAAGCTTTAATTTTTGTTTTAAACATTTTGTTGTGAAAATTTTATTTTTATTCTATTCTTCTTTAGAAACATGTACAGTGTTGGACAGATGAGTGAAGCTGTAGGCAAGACTACTGACACTATGAAGGTTATGGAAAAACAATTGCCTCCAGAAAAAATTAATAAAACGCTGCGTGAATTTACCGCGGCTCAAGAACGTTTAGGAGTAACAGATGAGGTCGTTTTGTTCAAGAAATATTTTTCAGTATTTTATTCCATTGCATCCTCTCAGGGCCTTTCATTCTTAAGCAGTACCATTTTTTTCTTTCGAGCTAACTTGGCTGTGTATTACTCCGCCTTAATTTACGGGTTTTATAAAAGCCACTTTTTCACTTGACAAAGGCATCACAAAATGGCTTTTAGGGTGCAAAATATTTGTAAGGCATGGGTCACGTAAAAAATGCAGTTTTACTCAAAAGTGTTGCAGTTTATAATCTTATTATTCTTCCAGATTGTCAATGATACATTAGATTCTATGTTGGACGAATCAGGAGACGAGGAAGAGCAGAATGCAATTGTCAACCAAGTACTGGATGAGATTGGAATAGAAATGAATGCTCAGGTATAAATATTTCACAGCTCTGACTTGTACAGAAACTTTAAGTATTCCTGAAGCAAGTTTAACCAGGTTTTATAGTAGACCAAATTGTTCTAGATAATATATTCTCCTTAT